ATTTATGCGATGCTATGAGGCGTAGATTATTGGAAAGTGTGCTTGTCCCTGCTGTCTGAGAGTACCCTGTACAATACTCAACCGGTACGGTTGCTATATTTATTTAAAAAAAACCACATTAAGTATATTTGTACAGTACAGCCTCTAGTATAGTTTAGTTCGGATTAGGCGATAAACTGCACATATGGTGCACTTGTAAAAACACAATTCACAAGTTTGTTGTTGTTTATACAAAGTAGGCCATTGCAAAAAGATATTATATAACTCAATCACTGTGGCAAGTTACAACTACGCGAGGTGAGTATAAGAAGTATAGAAAATTGTCAAAAACTATAGATGTTCAAAATCTGCATTTGCATATGTGTACCAATATTCAAATAGTTGCGATTTTTAAAGGCACGCTCCTGATACAGAAGAGGTACTTCTGGTAAATATTTTACAAGATAAACGTGACACTGAATTTTTAAATTTAAATCGCAAATGTAATTATTTGCATTTCAATTTGATAATATCCAAAATATAACATATTAATATACATAGAAATACCTTAATTGTGATAAAAAATAAATAGTTTATTTAGTTCAGCTATGACAGTTACAAGTAAATGTATGACAAATTAAAAACTTGACTTAAATTCGATAAAAGAAATTGGTACTTAATATTAATTTGATAATAAACAAGTATCTCTCAATTTCTTTTAGACTAATTTTATTCCTTATACCTATACAATGCTCTAAAACAAAAACGGCATCAGCGATGGCTTTGAAGTGAAGATCGGTGTCATTTTATGCCTCGGGAAACTACCTCTTTTTTCAGTCTCGGAAAATACACTACAATTTTCTAAGCCGACACATATCCTTTTGAAAACTCTGTGTATTTGCGACAGTGTAGAGCGGCAATATACTGGAAAAACAATACATATTCCATATTTTAAACATATTTTCTGAGAGACGAGTCAGATCAACGAAATGCACATCCATGACAATTCTCTATCTTAAAAAAATACTCAACTCACTGAAAGATAGGAAGACCGTGTCAACGTGTCGTTGATACGGTATATCGGAACATATCGGCCTAGAGGGATACTAGTGCTAAAGCACTCCCTCGCTAACTCAGGTTCAAGCACGTCGTTCATGGAATCAGAACCGGCACCTAATGTTCAAAAAAAAATCTCGCAAAAGACCGGCTTTGTCAAAAATGGAACAACAGTCCTGGAGAATGCCCAGAAAATCTTGGTTGGGTCATCCAAACGCAGAACCGGAGAACTTATGGCTGGCACAAATGGCGTGCTTATGCTCACTGGTTGTGTGTTTGCTCCCTCAAAACGGGTCGTTGCAGGCTGAGTCACATCTGCAGAGGATGAGACTGGCAGAAGACGCCGAATAGACAAATCTATGAAGCACGTTATGTGTACAGAAAAATGACAGAACCAGGTTCCAATTTAATAGCTGATGACAGAACCAGGTTCCAATTTAATAGCAAAACTGTGGTCGACTTATCAGTTTTATCACTTATCAGACTTATCACTTATGAGAAATATCAATCTCGAATATAACCAACTTTATTAAATGGGCAAGTTTTGAGGGTGAAATTTAACTGAGTGATACTGAGCCACAATAGGCCCTTCTGGCTGCAGTGGAAGATCCCTCAGGGATCCACTCTGAGTAAAATACAATACAAGTGACTACATTAATGCCATAAAAAAGGGGAAGTAACGGTCCTGACATTTAACAAAAAACTTGTCATCATCATCAGCTATTCAACCATATCCAATTATAGTGTAGCCGCCCTCACATACTCCCATATCCAACAAGTCCTATGGGTATTGCGCACCCGGAATAAAATCTACAAAATAAAATATTTTTTTTTGTAAACCCTGCTGCGTTAATCTAACGGAGACTAGTTGGGCCCATTGTTGTCTAGTGCTGGTTATGTGGGCCCAAGTTATCCCTGCTAATTTCCGAATATCATGGTCTCATCTCAGCTTCTGGCTTCCTCTAGGTCTCTTAATTCCTCGTGGGTACCATGCTGTAATTCTTGTGGTCCATCTATTGTCAGTTCTTCTTGCCAGGTGTCCTGCCCATTGCCATTTGAGGAATTTGACTCTGTGGATGACGTTTATTACCTGAGTCTTTTGTCGTTTCTACTCTATTCTTTTACGGTCTCTTATGGTTAACCAGCATATTTCGTACCATTGAGCATTGAGCAATCTGCAGTTTCCTTATGATATCCGTTTTAATTGTCCAGGTTTCGCATCATGACTGGTAGTACACATTGGTTGAATGTTTTCTTCTTTAGATAGAGTGGCATTCTAGATTTGAATATGATTGAATTTCTTCCATAAGTACTCCATGCTAACTTAATTCTTCTGTTGATTTTTGGTAGTAGAGATCCCCAGTTGTGTATTAGTTGTCCCAAATATTTATATTCTTCTACTATTTCCAGTGTTGTGTTATTTATTAGAATGTATTTTCTATCTATTAGTACATTACTTTAGTTTTTGCTAAATTCATTTTAAGACCCACTTTAGAGCTGGCTGTATTCAGTTCATTAATTTGTGCTTGCAATTCTTCAGGGCTATTGGCAATCAGGACTATGCCATCAGTGAGGATTATGCCATCAGGACTATGCCATGGTTAAGATATTCTCCATCTATTTTTAATTCTTTGTTGGTCCAGTCCAGATGACGAAAGATATCTTCTAATGTTGCTGTAAACAGCTTTCGGGATATCGCGTCTCCCTGTTATTCTCCTTTACCAGTTGGGAACTCTGGGGTTGTTTTATATGAAAACTTGTATTGATATAAAATTACATTAATGTATTGAAAATGTACGACTAGTAAGAGCAAACAGAAAATAAAAAATCTCTCATATATCGATGTTACTTCTTAAGGTAAACATCCCTACTACTACCGGTGGTAGTTCCCACCTTAACCGATAATGAAGTCAATTAGATGGAGTGCAGCGCTGAGGTTAAGTTTATAAGAACTATAAGAAGCGTACGTACGACCAGTGGCGCCGATAGAGACAGGTGCCGGGAAGTGAGATAAAAAAGGTTTATGAGTTTGGTAGGAAAGATCTGCTTCTATTCGATATAAAGATTTATAGTTATGTATAGCTATACGATTTAACGTTTTTTGTAGCATTGAATCACTAAGATAATGTGATTCGGATCTTACATTCGTGGATTAAAGAAATTACGTTTTAATGTATATTTTTTATGAGCCTGCTTTAATTAAGGCACGTATACATTGCTAATTCCTACAATATAGATTATAAATTACCTATTATTGAAGAAGTTATATTAGTATTACAGTATGTATATCTAAGATCTATAATAACTTACTTTTTTCTGTACTTTATGTTGTGCAGGTATACAGTTTTGTACTCTAATATTGTATATCGGAATTTGACCATACCATACTACTTATTTTATGATTGTTTTGCCAGGAAAATAGTATAAAGAACATAAATAAATGACATCTAGGTATCATTCATTTCAGCGGTCATTGCATACCTTTTTTTTCTTCGTTTTATAATTTTCTTCGTTTGTTTCTTTTAAAATAGACCCACAGCAGTCTCCTAACAGTCCAGAAATCTGTTAGGATATTGCTTTTTATGTATATTTTTTGAATAACATTTCTTCTATAAAGTCTACAGTTTTTTTCATGCCAAAAATGTCAGTCATTTTCGTGATCTGAGGGCTACCTTTGATAATTGTTAAATATTATTCCATTGTTTGTTTACAAAATTGTTTTTTGTAGTATGTTAATGTAATACTTTTTATATTTCTACAAGAAAACAAAGCAAACAAAACTCAAATTAAATAAACTTCATACGACCATAACAAATAAATTACTTATTATTCTCCTTCAAAGTTTAAAACTTTTTTCTCCATTGTTCTATATCTATAGTATAATATCGATATCAACAAATGAAACTCCCAAAAGTTACTTTTTTTCTCTAGTTTGTTTTGATACAGTTTTAATTATAAATTAGGGGCAAAAACTTCTATTACAAAGGACTGAGTTGTTATTATAATAAGACACCTTTCGTTATTAAAAAAGAACATATTTTAGACCAACTTTATTGATTTAATCATACCGGGTGTTTCTCAAAAGTGGCTCACCCCTGTAACTATTTTATTTTTTTCAGATAAAAAAACTAGATTTGGTATGTTAATATATGACATAAATTAGGGTTGATTGAATATTTAAATTTTTTTGATAACTTCCTGTTTCACCGGAAATTACTTTTAATTTTTAAAGCACTCTCGGTATTTTTTCACTTTATTTGATAGAAAATAGCATTCTGAATATATTGACATATCATATGTCAATGTTTGCCATTTTCGCTTAAAAAAATTACGTATTATAAATTAAATAAGTGCCGTGGCTGTGCTAAAACACTAATTTTTAAGCAAGGAGCTTTGGAAAAATAGATTTAATCGTCTAATGTTTTTCGTGTATTGTCCTGGCCGGTTAAAAGATGCTCAAATCGTATGGCTTATTAACATATTAGGGTAATGCATTTTTTGGTGAATAATTTGTTTTCATACATTTGGTTATTTCGAGCCAAATTGTCGTTACAAACCGTATGTTATAATTTCAAATAAGCCGTATATGGAAATCAAAAGTTGATATATGGAAATGTTAAATATAATTATAACAATTACTATTACACATGTCATTCTATTTAAAGCGTCATTTTCTATCGAATAAAGTAAAAAATGGTGTCATTTAAAAATCAAAGGTTGTAGTAATTTCCAGCGAAACAGGAGGTGACCGAAAACAATTGAATTGGCCGACAATCAATCCTAATTTATGTCATATACCAAAGTACCGAATCTTATTTTTTTATCTGAAAAAATTAAAAAGTTATATAGAAGTGAATCAATTTTTAGAAACACCCGCTATATATATATATATATATATATATATATATATATATGTTAGATTAGGGACAGATAATTAGTCTTTTTACTTAAATTAAACCACTATATTCCTCAAAATACGTTTTATTCCGCTTAGAAATACGTGAACAGTTCGAAAGTCGATCTAAAACTCACTAAACTTATAAGAATGATGCAACATTCGCAATATTGCTCCAGCTTTGTTTTTCGAAGAAGGGCCACGCTGCGGCGGTCTCGGAGATCAGGTGTCGTAAGCTGACGTAATTTAGAGAAGCCAGCTATCACGGCCTTCCTGGCGTCGGGGTGTCCTCGCACCGTTTGCAGTCTGAACACATGACAGCGTGTAAACTTTGACAGCGGTAATCTGTAAATATTTCAGAACACTTACTGTTCAAAATATATTCGGGGAACAAATCAGAATTAATCTGAATTAATCTTGAAGACAAAATTTCCTTAACTGATTTTACTGGCAGTTACTTTTACAACATCAAAGCAAAACAAAAATTTCAAGGCTTGCCATATTAACCTCTGAGGGTTAAGGCTAAACAAAACTAGTTTAAGGATCCAACTTTCCAAAATAAAAGTAACTTAGCCACAATATAAATTCTTGACGTTTTACATAACCTAAGTTTATGTTCGTAAAACTATGCCTAAACCAGAGGTTTGGGACCTTGTACATGCCTGCCACGCAGGAACCTTTAAGTATAACCTGTTGAATCAGAAACTTTAAAATAAAATCAGTGTATGCCTGCCACGCAGGGACCTTTAAGTATAACCTGTTAAATCAAAAACCTTAAAATAAAATCAGTGTATGCCTGCCACGCAGGGACCTTTAAGTATAACCTGTTGAATCAGAAACTTTAAAATAAAATCAGTGTATGCCTGCCACGCAGGGACCTTTAAGTATAACCTGTTAAATCAAAAACCTTAAAATAAAATCAGTGTATGCCTGCCACGCAGGGACCTTTAAGTATAACCTGTTGAATCAGAAACCTTAAAATAAAATCATTGTATGCCTGCCACGCAGGGACCTTTAAGTATAATCTGTTAAATCAAAAACCTTAAAATAAAATTAGTGTATGCCTGCCACGCAGGGACCTTTAAGTATAACCTGTTGAATCAGAAACCTTAAAATAAAATCAGTGTATTCCTGCCGCGCAGGGACCTGTAAGCATAACCTGGTAAATCAGAAACCTTAAAATCAATTTATGCCTGCCACGCAGGGACCTGTAAGTATAACCTGGTAAATCAGAAACCTTAAAATAAAATCAGTTTATGCCTGCTACGCAGGGACCTGTAAGTATAACCTGGTAAATCAGAAACCTTAAAATAAAATCAATTTATGCCTGCCACGCAGGGACCTTTAAGTATAGCCTGCTAAACAGGGACCTTTAAATATAGCCTGTTAAACAGGGATCTTTAAATATAGCCTGTTAGACAGGGACCTTTAAATATAGCCTGTCATAACAGGGACCTTTAAATATAGCCTGTTGAACAGGGACCTTTAAATATAGCCTGCTAAACAGGGACCTTTAAATATAGCCTGCTAAACAGGGACCTTTAAATATAGCCAGACGAAAACCATTTAGTCGTTTCATTGCATAGCGCTGGTTAGGTAAACAAGCCGTTATCTTAAACGGTCCTTTGTATCAAGGGACTAACTTACCTCCACTAAACTGGGTATTCTCTACTACAACTTTTTCTCAAATGTAGTAGGCTTTACTGATCATGCGTTTTTTTTTTATTTGAGTATGCTCGTCCACTCCTGACTTTTACAGCAATCGTGTTAAGGGTTGTTTTACCTGACTGTTTATATTCCATCTAATTATTATATAATTTTACATTGCTTTCCCAGCAAATAACTGTCAATTATCTAAGCCACAGATAAAAAATACTCTATTTTTTTTTGTTACTGGCTTAGGTACAAGTTTTACAATATTTTCTTAAAATTGTTTTAATCAATTCCGATGGTAGTTACACCACCATTTAAAAATTTCAAGAATAAGGTCATTTGCTTTAATTATTTTTGAAAAGAGAGTGCTTACGTTCCTTTTCACACACTTAAAAACAAATCAAGTGGATATAAATTGATTCCCTAATTGTTATCATTTTGCATAAGCAGTATATTGGATATAGGCACCCAGAATGGTCCTTCAAAAGAAAACGTAGAATAAAATAACACATGCAGCTTGCGTATATGTCTAAAATAAACAAACAAAAAAATGCTTTGTTTTAATAAAATACATCACGAACTAATAATCTCTGTCTGGAGTTGCATTTTGTCTTTTTTTTTAAGTCTGTTTTCTATACTCGTAAATTTTGATGAATTCTATTAGTCTTATCTACTGCGTCTTTCTAAACACTTGCTTCTGAAAATGGATGACCTGATTCTATGAAATGATTAGCGTAATTTCATTTTCTATTTTTTTTACTCTTTTTCATTTACCCAACTCTAAAATGAGAATGTTGGCTGTGGACATTTTAAATTTACCACATCGTCAAAAGCCGCAACTAAAAGAACCTTTAGTACTTATGGATTTGTTCATCGGCCAAGAAGAAACATTTCTTTTATATAAAAGATGTTCTATGTTCTTTGAATCTACCTTCTAAATTTCTACCGGTCTGGCCTATACAACAGACATTGCATTCTGAACAGTTCAACTTATAGATTGATAGTGTTGTTTTCCTATATTTACATTAAAAAGTAAACCTGATATGGCCTAAGACGGTTCAAATGCTACCGCTGTACCATTTAACTTCTCATTATTTTATTTATTGCTTTTATTAAACCTAGTGTTTTGTCTTATTGTATTGTTTCTAATTTTTAGTTCTGATAGCTTGACTTAGTGCAAGAGCACATGCTGAATAAACCATTGATTTGTACGCTGCTAATTTATGTTGTATTGAATGTTTAAAATTATGATAACCTCTGTAAACATCAGCTTTCTCAAGATATCAAATTCTAATTTCTCTAGTCTACTTTTGACATTGTTAGATCTTAGAAATTAATTTTATTATCTTAGTTAGTACTCAGTTTCATTCAGTTTGAGCTTCTCAGTTTCAGACTCATTCAACTGATATAAAAAAAAAGATAAGAACATGATCTACATGATCATACAAGATAATAAAATATCAAAATATTATGATTTTGAAAAGTGTTTCAGTAAATTCAGACAGAAAACTTTCTGCAAGTAAATGACTTAGCGGAGAACCTAAGCAAAATCCTTTTTGTTTGTCTATAAAAATATCTTCAAACACGAAACAATTTTCGTTCATGTAGCTTAAAAATTCCAGACTTATTGTTAAACGATAATGTTAATCTCACATTTTTGCATGTTTTAATTTTTTTCTGTAAGTTCTCATAATAAACGATAAATTTCTTTCCAGAAAGTAAATTCTAGTGTTAAAACATTTTTTAGCGTCCGGTTACTGTTTGAAATAAAATTAGTTCGATTGCATCTTTAAATTATTTTAGTGATTTCAATACGCTTCATAACTTGGTAATGTACTATTTAACAATGTGTATAAACTGTCAAAACAAACTCTGGCAATATATGGGCATTTTATCTTAACTACAAAGGAAACTAACTGCCACTATTTTCATTGAAATTTAAAATTAACTATAGCATTATTATTTTTCTTGTACAGATTAACTTTTATAACCCTTCTAAAAGTTTTCCACTTTTAAATGACAACTTCTTAAATGAGAACAAAGAATTAAATTCAATTCTGAAATAAGTTTTGTCTGACAACTTATTAAACTACCAATTCTTACATTACCAGTAAGAACTAAATTAAATTGTTTGTAAGACTGCATGTCAAATGGTCTGATACTTAGCTTTTTTTTATATTGTGGAAGGCCATGGTCATAGTTGTTTACGAACGGCAACGTGGTCCGCCGATCTTGCTGATATGTTGCTGATGCAGCGCATATCTGTCCTTAGGTAACAATGCACGAACTGTGGGGCCTTACAGTCGTCTGTCAGCTGAGAAACTTTCTCGGTCATGAGGTCTCCAACCATAAACAAATAAAAATAAAATAGTTTGATTAATAATATACTCAATATTACTAAAACTTTTTAATACTCAACTTTTGTTCAGAAGTAAACAAATCATTGGCTGTGCTAGACATTAAAGTGCTGAGCTCACTTATTCGGGCTATTTTCCGGGCTAATCCGTCCTTCAGCTTCGGCACTGGCCTTGTCCAGACCGATGACATCGGTTGGCGGTGTGTCAGCCAGAAAATGTTGAGAAACCAATAATCTGGAACTTGGTCCATGACGTAACACATTTAGTATGTGAACCAACTCTCGAAAGGATTGTGATTAAATGCGGTCCATGTTTTTCCTTGTTCAGCAGTAACAGTTGCTCAAGCTCCAGCTGTCTCTCTCTCTTTAAAATATTCAGAAGTCGGCTCGACATTTGTTGATACATTTCCATTTGAATCTCCAACACACTCCGACGGAACAATGTCTTCTATTCAATTTAATGTTTTCGTTCTGAAGGCACTCAAGAATTAATTGTTTTATTGTTTATTTGTCCTTTAACGATCAATAATACACAGGAGAAATTATTCTTCTGCTAGATCAAAATCGGTATCGTCAGAAATTGGCATATTTCGTCATGTTACGCAATACTGTCTTAATATTCAAAAACTTCACTTTTCACTACTTTTGGGCACACTGGGGTATACTCTCACTTCTGATGTTAGATTAGGGACAGATAATTAGTCTTTTTACTTAAATTAAACCACTATATTCCTCAAAATACGTTTTATTCCGCTTAGAAATACGTGAACAGTTCGAAAGTCGATCTAAAACTCACTAAACTTATAAGAATGATGCAACATTCGCAATATTGCTCCAGCTTTGTTTTTCGAAGAAGGGCCACGCTGCGGCGGTCTCGGAGATCAGGTGTCGTAAGCTGACGTAATTTAGAGAAGCCAGCTATCATATATATATATATATATATATATATATATATATATATATATATATATATATATATATATATATATATATATATATATATATATATATATATATATATATATATATATATATATATATATATATATATATATATATATATATATATATATATATATATATATATATATATATATATATATATATATATATATATATATATATATATATATATATATATATATATATATATATATATATATATATATATATATATATATATATATATTGCCTTCCAGGGATTGGTCATGAAGAAGAAAGTAATTTCTTTTAATCTAATTTTTAGGACATTATACAGGGTGTCCCAGAAATAAGTGCAAATATTTTAACTGGTATCATGATATTAGATTAAATTTACAAGAAAGAAAATCCAGTAAAGATTTAGTGGTTCTCAAAATTTTAGCAAAAAATAATTTTTTTTGGAAATTTTCAAAGTAAAATAACTCCGTTATTTTGGACTTATTTGCAAAACGATAAAGAGAAAATATATTTCTTTTATCGAGATCTATCACCTCTTAAAATATTTACACTTATTTCTGGAACATCCTGTATAGTTGGCCTCAAATTTATCATGTTGTTAATATTGTCCCACTGTATAGTACAACCTGTTTATGCCGTGATGATTTTTATTTATACAAAATACGCATGTTAAAAAAAGCTGTCTACATATATGCAAATTATTATTACGCCTCTATAAAACAAGTTTCGCGCTCACGCAAAATCGTATCAACGGACGCTACTGAGGCGAATGCCCACCAGCAAATGAATGGATCTATCTTGCATGGGCAGTGGAAAACCTTCATTCATGAGAAACGCGACCGTAAGGCCAGCAGGTGCCTGTTCAATTTGTTTTAATTTAGGTTCAAATGAATCCGCGCCTAATTGGAATCAATGCCGGTTATCTTTTTTTCTTTACTCTAATTTGGCGCTCTCTTACGATAATCTAAATTAGCTCCGTTTTTTCTTACTCTTTGTTTCCTGTGAACTAGTTTTGAACGTGAACGCTTTTCACACACAACAAGTTATAGTCGGCTGTGTTACGGTTTAGTTCATAAACTGTTCCCCTCATTGAGAAAAATAACAATTACTATTACACGAGTATTCTAATTCATATTTTCAGTGATGGAAAAATAGAATTTGAAAAGATTTAGTAATA